CTGCTAGGTAAGATATCGAGTACTCGGTACTCGGTACGAGGTAAATATCTCCCAGTTCAAAACCGTCTCTAGTCCAGGGGCCCCGCCGTAGCCTCAGCCTGAGGTATACATAATAAAGGGATGACACGTCGAGTGTGAGACATAAGACATACTCGTATGTTGTAGCATGAAGAAAACAGTGACACTCCAACGTTGAGTTTCACACGACCAAAGTACTGCGACAACCAAATCTCAGATTCAGGATATCAAAAGGTCGCCGTCAACAAATATATCGACCCTGACAAGGTACTCGGTATCATACAGTCACCAGTGCAAGACGCCGACACTCTCCGGTTTCCATTGCAAACCAACGCCGGCTCCACCGGTTCAGTCGCGATGGAATGTTTCCTCCATATTATCCAACAACAAAGACTACACGCAGCAGCGGCTAGTCAAGCACTCCATTTCCTCAAGTTCCTCAAATCCTCCAAGGTGTGTTTGATTGTTACAATATCCAGTCCCCGTCTCCCAACTTTTGCATATGTCCCTGGGGTTTGCCGTCACATTTCCAGATCAAAGCACATCTCAACAAATGTCTCGTCAAATATATGTCCAGTGCTCACATATCCCATGCGCTATTGACGCCTCCACCCGGAGCAAATGGCCCGGTCATATTCTCCCAAGTGGCAGATCCAAATATATCCGCAACATTGTAGTCCATGTTCCCCCAAAACATGGGATCCGAGTACTCTTGTAAGTTCGTGTTGCTTCCGTCACCTCCCATAGCACCAATCCCCGATTGCCCTGGGAGATTCATGTTCATGGTTGATTGCGCAAACGCCAAGTCCTGCGGAGTAGCATATACAGCACTGCCGATGCCAGGATTGAATTGAGGCTGTGTGGTCGGTTGACCGCGGTCCCAATTCGAAAAGTCAAACGTGGAGAGGCTGCCCGTTGGGTTGGTGAGGGCTGAGGGGTTGCTGGGGTCGAACGTCGTCGAGGGTGTCCATGTTTGCGTGCTGTTGGGCGTCGAAGCTTGAGGTTTTAGCCGCGACTGAGAATTGTTTCCAGCTGCAGTCGAGTTATACCCTTGGATCGGCGAACTGGTCGTGGATTCGGCGACAGAGGACTTTCGCGGGCTTGCGTCTTCGTTGCCACTGGTGGTGCGCTGCCTTTTTCGAGATGGCTGATCAAATTCAACAGGCATACTCTGCGGCGATTGATCCGGCTTAGGAACGGTCAGGAACCCATTGACCGACGCTTTTCGTGATTGGATGTTAATGAGGAGGAGGCTCAGCACTTTGTGGCAATTTTGCACCGTGTACCATCTGATATTCATGCTTTCCAGCAGATGCAAGCACGCTTGCATGTCACTCAGTGCTCGTGCTTTGGCGTATTTGCCCAGTTGGCAGGCAAAGGCAATAATGAGACCAGACATCCATGCTGCAGACAGCAGACCAGGCAGAAACATGGACTGGCCGTGTTTTTTATGCGCTCTCAGACCAGCTACAATCCCTCGCGAAGCTCGAATGCACACCTGGAGACCGTGTTGGAATTCAGGGGTTGACTGGTCCAGGGAAAGGCGAGGCCGATTCACCAAAAGGAGCAGCCGGTGGTACAGAATCTTGAAAAAGCTTGCAAGATGTTGTTGTGGAGGAGGGAGAGGAGACGAATCGGAGCCATTTCCTGTAGCTCCATTATTTCCGTTAGCTGCCGACGCGGTTGGATGGGTGTTCGCGTCGCTCGATTCATGGTTGGTCCTCTCGTGGCCAGCCTCGACCTCTCCACTCAAAAATCCAGGAAGATCATTCCACCACGTCTCAATATCACTGGTAAGGCGGAGAATCTGTTCGTGCTTGGGAAAGCGGTGATTGATGCTTTTGTGGAAAACTTCGATGATCTGGCCTGTCAACTTGCCCCATTGCACATAGGCAGTTAGAGCAGCCTCTCGTAGTCGCTTCTCTTGAGCCTCAGGTCCGTCATTGTCAGCCTGCGCCACGCGTGGGTCATCCTGGATCGCACGTGGAGGTGGCATGTGCATGCTCATGTCCCCCTCGGGATTGGGCATTAGATCTCGTGCATGAGCCTTGTGAAGCTCTGGACCGGATAAACAGACATCAATGTCATCGTCTTGTATCACGTTGGGATCGCCCAGACTCAAATTGCAATGTCGGTCCAGAGCATATGCCGACCAAAATATCCGTTTGCGGATCTCACACTCTTCGAGAGATAGTTGGGCATAGCGCAGCGGACATCGGTGAAGGCCGGCATGATAGATCAGTTTGATAATGATTCCAGCAACCGTGCTGGCTTGGCGAATAGCCAGGGTTGCGGTCAGGTAGAGTTCGGCAGCGAGGATGGCTTGTATAGTGGCCAGATCATGGTCCATCGCCAAGCACCCTGCCACTCGACACACATCGGCGGTGGACTTGACGCGCGATTCCATGGGAAGATGAATATCACTCCGATCCAGGGAGGCGATATTGATGATCAACTGAAATGTCAGTAACTTCCGCAGGTCCGTGTGAGCAGGACTATCCTTGGTCGGTTTCGAAGGACGGCGCTGTGACGCATATATCGTCTCCATGTCTTTGATAAAACTAGGTCCGTGGAGAAAGGGGAAAAGCGGGTGCCAGACGGTAAAGAAAGAGGTGACCAATTCGATGGCGATCTTCTTTGCCGGGGGCTTACCCAGAGCCGAGGCCAGCGTCTGAAAAAACTGATCTGAAGAACTTGGGCCCTCATAGAGGGGACCATTGTACGAACGACCCTCAGCGTCCTCACCAGTGAGAATGTCTTCGCTCGCGGGGACGGGGTTTGCGCCTCCTAGATTCGAAGACGCAAAGGCTGCAGAAAAGGCTCGCCGCACGGTGTTGACGAAATACACGCCGGAAGAACTGCCCAGCCAAGCAGTGCCATGATTACCGAGCTTTTTCAGAGTGCCAATCTCTGATGTGTGAGTTGGACGCTCTTCAGGGTGAGCATCGCTGTCCGACTCATTGGTGACGGCAGTTCCGGACGTCGACGAAGGCACCGCGGGAGGCGTGGGCTGGCCGACGCTGGGGGACGGATTATTGCTGACAGTCGATCGTGGAGTCATTTTAGCTGGCGCCGAAATGGACTGAGATTAAAGCTGAAAGACGATGATGCTCTACTGCAAGATGGGATTTTGCGCCGACATGGTCGTTGCACTGATTGATGGTCACAGAAAGGCTCAGTCTGGGTCGATGGCTGAAGATTAGGATATGGATAGGACTAGATCAATGGTGTTGTCTGCGAAAGTGGTAGAAGTGCGCGCATGTGGGTGTGAGGCCGGCCGGATATGCGGTGTGTGATGTGTTATCGGGAGGGGTGGCAGGGAGAGTCGTAGGCGGCCAGCGATAATAAGAAGTAGTAGCAATAGTGGCAGCGACACTGACGATCGACAGAAGACAAGGTCGACAAGAACTAATTAGCAAGAAATGCGGGCGTTGATCTGTGGTCGTTGGGCGAGAAAAAGCTAGGGTGGAAAATTATGAGGGCGAGATTGGGATGGCGGGAGTGGGGAGGAACTCGAGGTCGCGCGAGAGCTGAAGGGCAGCAGCTAGCTAGAGAGAAATAGCGAATATGAGAAGAAATAGATGGTGGGAAGAGGTGGAAAGAAGACGAATCAGAACAGCAGAAAGAGGCTGATGGAAGGGCTGCGTGGCTGGCCCAGAAGTTTAGTAACATCAGGCTTGGGAGGTGGGAAATCGAGGGGGAAATAAGCGGTTTGTCTTTTGATTACTTTTCTTTTGCTGTTGAAGAGGAGAAGAAAACTGAAGCGAAAAGTCAGTCAGTCAAAGTCAGCGTCAAGGAGCAGGAGGAGCAAAAAAGGGAAAAGGGTCGCGGACAGTGGCGCTGGTGGTAGCCAAGTCAAGGAGTGCAAGGGGACTCGTACTCGTAGTTCCAGGGCCCCTAACAGACCCCCCAGGCATTGACTCGACCTCTTCAACCATCAGGCTGGTTAAAGCTCCCGCCCCGGATGTGACGCCTGAAAATCACGCAATGAAACCTCAGGCCCTCGACAACCTCGAGGCAATGACTGTGTCAGACAGGAAAATGGCATTGACACCTCGAGCCGACTACTTACTACTCCTCTGCGTCAGACCGGCCAGTCCCAAACATGACGTCGGCTGAGTAACACTCTTTTGCCCTCGCGGCGGTGCCTGTGGTGCCTGCGATCACTGATCCCTATCCGTCTGGGGTTTCTTTCTTCCTCCAGGCACCTGAACCTGACTTATCAACCAAGTTGTTTTCACTTCTCCCATGTGCAGTTTTGTCTGTGTTTACATCATTTACGTGCGGAAAACACCGAATACCATATTTTCGCGTTTTCCGCATATCCAGCATCCTCAAAGTCCTGCATCTTCCCCTCCCTTCGGCCGTTAAAGTGGTGCGACGGCGAACATGGACCTGGCTTGACCGACATCTGTCTTACCTGCACCCTCTGCTTTCAGTCTTCGGTCATCAAGAATATTTGCCTGAGGTCATTCTCGCTCATCGATCTGGGAATCATCGATCTGGCACTCAGTAGAAAAGAAAACGTGTAGTTACTGCTCAGGCTGGAAATGGAATGGTCGTTCGGGCATATTACCACGCCCGAATGGAAACAATCGCCTAAACCCGCAGGACAATAGCTGCATCCAAGTAGGCCGCATCAATCGGCTGAAGTCGGACACGCACACAGACCAAGACGGTCTCGAAGACTCCCCTCTTTATCCTACTGCTGGCCTTCACGGAACGCAGGAGCAAGGGCAGGAAGAGGCACTAGTAGGAACACCAGCCAGCCTTGGTCCTAATCATGACGGCGTGGACGGATCTCTCTCGTGGAGTCGCTAACACTCAATGACAGGCAAACTAAGATACGCTGGTAGTTCGACACATACCGTAGACCGTGGTTATCCGGTTTGTGTATAAATTCTTTTTGGTACTTGTACATGCCCTACGACTTCAAGGTCTAGCATCGACCTTGCTCACAAGTTTTGCCTTTTTGCTGCCCCTTACCTTGTAATTCCAATGACTCCGTCACCCTCTCGGATATCTACCGTAGAGTCAATGACATTAGCCGTCTTGAGAACATCTACCACACCTCCCATGACCCCTGCATCTACCCCTCTCGTCCCCTGCACAAATTTCACGTCTTTCAACCACTCCCGCCCATCTTCCTCGGAATAGTGGCAACCCGCCTCACCTGTCCCAAGCATTTTGATTCCCGCATCCGGATCCTCATTGAACATCTTGATTCCCTTGTCCAGAGCTTCGAAGATCTGCTTCAGGGTCTCGTCTGAACGTGGGTCGGGGAATGCGTCAGTCGACGCAGCAATATGCCAGCTGGGCCAGGGCGTGTAGATCTCCCCAATCTTCTTCAAAGGCGTGTCATCCCCGTGGAAATAGGGTTTCGTAGTGAAATGTTCCCACATAAAGAAGTCGGCCGTGTTGCCTGTCACGCCGTCGCGAAGATCCTTGAACGGTCCCAGTGGCACGAGGGTTAGCCCCTCTGATTTTTGATCCTTGGTGTGCTGAAGCCACCCTTCCTGCTGGGCGAGAACGAAAGCCATGATGTGACTCCCACTGCCAATCCTACTCACGCCTACTCGTCGATGTTGTCTCAGATCATCCACAGACGAGATATCGTCTCGGTTCCGCCCGGTGACAATGGCCCATCGAAGTGGAGTAGACACCCATGACCCGACAATGGAATATCCCTTCTCTTGTGGTGATTGGTTCTGGACAGAGGGGTTCAGAAGCCCAGCGACCCAGCCTTCAGTTAGACCAATTGCGAGGTCGATTTCCTTGGAGCGCAGGGAAGTTATCATGTGGCCGGTCCCCGAAGGGAACGGGACGAGATGGACCTGGAGCGAGGAAGGGAAAAGGTTGTTCTTGTTGCTGAAGTGAAGCGGGAGGAGGTAGTGTTCGGGCACGAAGCCAATGCGAATGGCGCGGGTTGCCATGTTGGCAGAATACGAGAATGAGAGGTCGGGACGCTATCGCACAAGGGTCGTCAACTTCCTGCAGCAAGGATAGATGGAGATGCGGGAGGTTGAAGATCTGAACGCAGCCGATGCTTTCACCCCGCGCCCACCCGCATCATTTCACGTCGTCATAGCGACATGGAGCGTACCTGTACCACGCCGCTTTTAACCACCACCTACCATCATGATCAATGTACCTCAACTCTTCCTTGTTCGTGTCGTCCCCTCAGTCTATAAACGGCTTTTGTGCTAAGAGCCCAGAAGAAGGTTCATCAACAAAACTTATGTCAACCATGATGGGAAGGTCAATAGTGCCAAAAGGGGGTTTGTTTGAGGATAGGGCGGCATCGTCCTCGTCCCAAAGAGGGGGTGAACTAGGTGTCGAGATGCATACCGCAAGGTTTTATTGACCCCTCCCCCGCAAAAACATCAAGCATCAAACACGCCCGAGCCATTCGTGCCGTGACACTCGTGGTCATCTACCAGCCGCAATCTCACCCCTACCTCACTAGTCTAAGGATGTGGCCTCTACTCCCTCGCCCCGGTCCTCGCTCGGTCATTCGTGATGATCTCTCTGAACCTCCAGTGGGGCGGCTCTCATGCGTCTTCGGAATGAGCTCCGCTGCTGATTTGCGGGGGTTCCGCACTTGTTTTATAAACAGCTCGGAATGGTCAGCTGCAGCACGAGGAATCTCAGCAACTTGATGTTGGCATCGTGTCGGACTTCTTTAAAAGGGGCATCAGTTCTCGTCGACTGCGTTGGCCGCCTGCTTGGTCCGTGATCCCTCCATCTTCACTGGTCGGCAAAACGTTTAGCAGCCCTGACAAGGCTTGGGCATTGCGGTGGCCGAATTACCACCGTTACAACTTCAGAGACAGGGGGCCGGGAGAGACAACCCATCTCATCCTTCCATCTCACCTCCTCCATCTTGCGTCTCGCTAAAGCAGATCCCAACCCTAGATTCACTAGTGGCCGCATCAGCCTGACAAACTAGCTCCTGATCAGGACCAGGGAAAACAGGGAAGACGGAGCAATTGTGTCCCCACCGAATTCGTCCCTCGACGACACTCAAGCACAAAGCGCAACTGTTGAGGCCAAGATGGACGAGAAATCAAGGTACAAGTACACCTTGTACAGTTACTTCCGCAGCTCCTGCTCGGCCCGGGTTCGCATTGCGGCCAATCTGAAGAACGTTCCACTTGATTACAAATATATCCACTTGGTCAAAGGCGAACAGCATGACAAGAACTACACAGCATTGAACCCAAGTGAGTCTGTGCCTACTTTGGTCGTGAGCGACCTAGAAACGGGCAACGAAGTCACCAGAATCAGACAGTCGGTTGCCATCCTGGAATTCCTCGAGGAAGTTGAACATGCGAATGGGGTGAAGCTGCTACCCGGCCCGGATGATGTTGTGGGAAGAGCCAGGGTGAGAGAGCTGGTGAACGTCGTTGCTTGCGATATTCAACCTGTTACGAATTTGCGAGTGTTGAATTTCGTCAAACCCCACAATATCGAGGCCAAGGAATGGCAACAACATTTCATGACCTTAGGATTTCGCGCATACGACGGACTGGTCACTGCCTATGGTGGCAAGTATAGTGTCGGTGATACAGTGACCATGGCCGACTGTGCCCTTGCTCCCGCCATAGACGGAGCCCTCAGGTTTGGCGTGGATGTGCAAGGCCAATTCCCGCACATCTGGAGGATCTGGGAGGAGATCAAGCAGTTGAATGCGTTCAAGAATGGCAGATGGGATAACCAGGAAGATACTCCGGAGGAGTTGAGGACAAAGGGGTAGCAGAAGACGTATGCCTTGAACCACTTGGGCGATGCATATGCTAGCGGCCTTGGGGGCAGCTTGAATCCAACATCCGATAACAAAGTAAAAGTCTGCACCAGATCCAAAATTGACATTAATGACTGAATTCACTGGACCTAGAGTGCTATCCTCATCCATCTTCCCGTTCGTTGAGACAGACATCAATGATAAGGAGAATCGTAAAGCCCAAGGCTGAGCGCTGGCCATGACGTGTGCCAATGTTGTAATGCGACAACCGTCAATGGATCCGAAGCTTCCACGCTGCACGGCCTCTTGCTCTTCTTCTTCCCACCGTTTTGGCCGTTAAATTCTCCTTGTTGTCTCTAACCAGCAAATCTCTAACGGTTTGATCTTCCTCTTGTAAATAGTCTGCTGCCACGCTACATTTTAACAACCCTTTGTACAATATGGAGACTGCCGAGTTGGGCCTCAATATCTTCCAAGTCATCCAAAACGAACTTATTCAGCGTGAAGGCAACCGATCTACACTAGGTCTTGGTGTTCGCCTCGCCATACTCGAAGACAGACTCAAGAACCAAGACGCACGGATAAAGAATGGTTTACTATGGAGACCCTACCACGCAATCTCCCCCATTTCTGCACCTACGCCAGAAGCCAGAGCCGCCGTCGAAGCACAAAGGAAACGTCTCCTGGAAAGAAAAGGTGCAAAGCCAACAAAGGATGACAAAGACCCGACGATGCACGTCCGAGATGATGAGCTTTGGGCGGTTCATCGTCATTTTCCGCGGACTGTGCTCGAGTTCAAGGAACTTCAATTCCATCGTAAGTAATCTATCTCATGTCGTGACTAGAGCTTGTTCCCTGATGCGTGGAAACAGCTGACTGGGTACGAAGCTTACTCGAATTTTATTCCGTCAAGGTCTACCGGCCAGACATGAGGCCGGTGGTTATAGACCCGGCTGACCGCCTGATCGACGTTCAACAAAACCTCGAGACGTGTCTTGAGGAGTTGGCCATGACCTGGGGGCTCAACTGGTTCCGAATAGGGGGCCTAGCTCTACCTGGTCCAGCTCATCCTTTTCCGAATCCTTGACCAACTCTGTGCTACAGAAAACATGTGCAGCAGCAGACACGCAAAGCAACAGCATGGCACGAGCCCCGTGTTTTCGTGATGTCTGTACGGGGTCAATGGAGTGCTCTACAAGGTGTGTTCCTGGTGGAAAGACTATGGAACAGGAAAGGCCTGCTGCTTGGGTTTCGCGCCCACACACGGTCCTGTGCGCCCTACGAGTATCTGACAATGCAAGAGGAACAACGGATGTATGCACCACCTACACCGAGGCAAGCTTGATTCACACAAACGGCCTTTCAAACAGCGCCTCCAGCCTCGAAGACAAAGCCTAACAAACCTCTATACAAAGACCTCTGTTCTAATTCGAGGAAAGGAAAGTTATTTTAGGGCTGCCGTTCATTGTATAGAAACAATGTTGCATTGTGTCAAACAAGAGATCGACACTGTCAATGGGTTTCAATGGAGACGTCGAGATATGTCGGACTACATTAACCCAGTATTGACACACCGTTGCAGAATCTCTCTCCATACCGGAAAACTCGACATATCTCGATTGAGGATATTTCGAAACAAGAGTATTTTCAGTATATCTCCGTCCCAAAGTTCAAAACCAAGTTCTCAGAACACACGGCTCTCCTTACCCGCTTCTCAGACCTCGACTCCCGAACCCACGCATCCCTTTACGTACTTCCAATCAAAGTGTCAACTTGAAACAAAAATGAATCCTGCTGCTGGAGACCAGGCACCTGCGACGCAGGATAACTCTGGTCCTACCCCCCTCGATTATCTCGCCGACGAAGCAACAAGAAGACTCCAGGAGTTCCATGAACAAGCTAGAGTTCAAAGATCGAATGAGCGGCTAGAGCGAGAACAGCAAGTTGCCGAGTCAGATAGGCGAGAAGTTGTTGAAGAAGTCGCAGAGAGCAACCCTGAAAATGAGATGTCTGGCCACAGCCCCAGAACACTAGAGGCTGCAGAAATCCTTCTGAGCCTTCGTCACGAGGTACTAGCTCCTCTGCCATCAACATCAAATCTTCAAGGAGGAGAAACTAACCGAGAAACAGAAATATTTGACCGCGGATCTCTGTATCAGCAACCCCCAGCTCTCTCTACTACTCCAGTGGATGAAATCCGAGACAGAACCGAGAACGTAGAGAACCAGTCCACAGAAACGCATCTGGTAAGTGAGCAGCAACCCAGGCCTTCTGAAAATGAGAATGACGGTCCTCTATCCTCCAATGAGCACGGCGAGGACGCTAATTCCCGGCTGGGTCCAGCAGACGCTCAAGATGAGAGTTTACTGCGATCAGAAGGCGAAGAAGTTCCTGCAGAGAACCGAGACCGCTTGATACAAAGACGCCTGCAGCTTCTGCTAGAAATCGTGCAAGCCAATGAAGAGCCTGGTCCAATAGAGAGTGACAGCACTGGAGAACGCGTGCGACGAGACCTGAACTACATTGCCGATCCAGCTGATTACACCCTGTATCGCACTGCGTCGGGTCAAGAGCGTCGCATCATACACCATGAGCCTCGCAATCCACCTTCTTCTCCGCCCAGGGCTGAAACGTACACGAACAAGAGCCAGGCAGAGCTCGACCCCGATTTGCACTACTGGACAAGTCCCGACGGCTTGAAACATGACATGAAGAAGTACAAACCGGACCCGAATGCAGCTCCCCCAGCCAAAAGAAAGTGGGACGATGTGATTGCCGCCGCTCTAAAGGAGCAGCAGGAAGCTGCGGAGCCCGGTATGAAGCCGAAGCCCAAGGCCGGGCCAAAAGGCAAAAAGGGCAAAGGTCGGGCAGGTGCGAGTAGCTCGAGTGCGCCGGCGAAGCGGGCAGGTACTACAAGTACACCAAGAAGTCGTCGAACAGCGAAGCCTCCACCCGTTGCGGGAACTCCGATGCGAGAAACGCGATCTGCAGCCAAGAGAAAGAGGGATGAGGCTGATGAGGCGAAAGAAGTTGACAGCGGTGAAGACGGTGCGGCTGCTCCTCCTCCAGCGAAGAAAAAGCGGTTCATGATCATCCTCAGAATGCCGCCCAATCCCGCAGCCGGTTCTGAGTAAAGTTGGTTGGACAGGTAAGAGGTTGCCGAGAAGGAGGTGTGAATGGTACAATGTAATTTGAACAGACATAGGGAGTGACAATGACAGGATTAAAGTGAGAGTGGTATAGGTATCTCCGTGACCAAGTACCATACAAGTACACAGTATCTGTAGTATTACAATAACAGACCAACCGCGTCAAGGTATCTATCTCCTCGAGCATCAGATTTACTCATGAGAAGTAAGACGCACAGGGAAAAATAAAATCGCTTAGCCTTCAACTACTCGGTGTATTCCTTTTATTCTATTTGTTTGATCCCTTCCGTTCCTTTTATCCAATCTAACTCATTCCATTGTTCATTCCCTCTCGTTTCCTCATTTCCATTTCACGCACACTGTTCATTTTCTCCTCATCCCTCCAGATTCTCGAGAATCAGATCCACCTCGTCGCCCGCCGTGTCGAGGATATGTTGTGCGGGATACCGCGGTTTCCAGCCGAGTGCTTCCTCGCCGTGGCGGGGGGTGAATGTGCATCTGTGGGCGTGGGCGAAGGAGTCAATGGGTTATCTCTTGAGGTGAAGGTGATGGTGGAAATATGAGAATGGCGAATCGGGGACAGGAGGATCGTGAAAAGGCAGACAGACCGGGTAGGACAAGGGTGGAGGATGAGAAGAACCAATCAAAAATCAAAAATCAAACAAAGCCATATCACACCACAGGCAATGACAATAATGATAATGTTGATGATAGGAAAGAAAGAAAGAAAGAAAAAACATACCGTCCACCAAGCTGTAATGCCACAAGCTCAGCTGGACACCCCAACGCCTTGCCCATGGCCTCGAGTGTCTGCGGCGTCGCGCGCTCGACCTTTCCCCCTCCGTCGGCATCGACCACGCTACGCTGGGCCAGCCGCGCCGCCATGGCCGCGTACAGGCTCTCCCATGTCACATGGCCCGACGAGGCGAGGTAGTATCCGTTCTTTCCACTTCCGGGACGATTTGTGCCGCCGGCGAGGATCCCGCGGAGGAGGGCGAGGTAGAGCGTCGTGTTGTCGTGGACGTGGCATACAGGCCAGGCCTGGATTTGAGTCAGTCAGTGTCTAGTTCTCGGGGTCCGGTGCCTGGGGTCTAGGGCCCAATTTCCAGCGTATAGTATAGAGTGTCCGGTAGGGGCGAGGTGGGAGGGAGGGACATAGGGAGGGATGGAGTGCTTTGGACCTTTTTCTCACTTGGGGACAGGATTTTGGGGTTATTGTTACTTACAGGACTCCCGTCGTCGACGCTGTACACGCGCCTTAAGGCCCGAGCGGCCTTTACAATGGCTACGGTCTGGATCGAGATGCGGTTCCCGAACCCTTCGCCTCGACCGTCTTAAGGGTTTAAAGATCCGGTGGTGTTAGTTAACAGACAGCACGGAATAGCTTGCGTAAATTCAGGGGATGGCACAAGGTGCCCCCTTCCGGGCCCTGGGTCTGTAACTTACACACGATGCACGGCACAAAGATGTAACTGTGCACGCCGAGCGACTCGGCCTGTTCGATGACTGTGTTATTCGTGTTGACGGCCTGAACACATGATTGATTTACGTATCAGTTACTGACATGAACAAATCCAAATAACGCTGAAAACTTAGGGAGTAGGGGTTTACTGACCGACTGTATCAGAGGGATCGGGGCTTTCTGCGCCTTCTGGATCTCGTATAGGTCTGGGTCTGTGTCGAGTAGTGGGCGATCGGTCGGGGCGCCGGCGTGGCTGGAGAAGATCTTTGCGCCACTGGTCTGGTTGTCGGTGTGATCAAAGGTTAGTATCTCGCACAGAATCCAAATCCCTCATCCCCTCCGGAAATAGGATCGTAGAGTGAAAGATACCATACATGCAGAAAATGGACGTCAACCTCCGTCCTACCCTTCACCTCGGCCAGCGCACTGATAAAATACCCCTGCGCCTGGGCCGTCATGGCATCGACGAGGAAAAACACGATGCTGATCTGGTTGTCGAGCACGGCGTCGCGCACGGCCTTTTCGTCCTTTGTGTCGAAGATGATGGGCTCCGCCTCTGCGCCGTATTCTAGCTTCACGGCCGACGCTTGCTCGTCGGTCCGGACGAGCGCTAACAAACGTTTGTACGGCGGGAGAGCGGCGCGGGACCATTGCGCGAGGAGACTGCCGCCGAGGTAGCCTGACGCGCCGGTGATGAGGATTGTGTGCAGATGGGACATGGTGACGGTGCGGGAAATGGACGCTTTAGGTGTGGATGTAGGTGTCGAGGTCGATGTCGAGGTCCAAGGAAGAGTGGGAAGGAAGCAAGGAAAGGGATGTAACTGGCCTTATATATACAACCGCGCACAAATACACAAATACACGTATTTATATTGAACAGCCCATCAGATTAAAAACCGCACTTGAGATGGCCGGAACGGATGCTTCTCCAACTCGAGGTCGGATGTGGTTCCCTAAGAGGATTGGAGATCCTCTCCCTCCTCCTCATTGTCATCTCAGGGTATCTAAGACATGAATGTGGGGTTTACAAGGCTCCCATCAAGTGCCACTTGCTCAGGTACAGCAAGTATAAGTACAAGTATAAATACAAGTATATGCAGTGCAATGTGATATAATGTAATATCGTGAGGTGCAGAGGAAAGAGGCAAAAAACCCCATGTAGGAAACCCCAGCAAATCGATCAATTTGTCAGCTGTGGATGCGTAAGCTGAGGACGAGGACGAGGACGAGGATGAGAGTGAGAGTGAGAGTGAGGTTGAGTATAGTGAGAAAGGAGAAAGCCCCTCTTCAACACACCTCCCCCTGATCTACAGACACTCCGTATCTAGTTGTATACAACAGAAGTGTCCGTCTTCAGCTACGAGGAAGAAAAAAACAAGCCGTAAATACCCTCGACGCCAAACCGAGAACAAGAACCCTCTTGAATTCCCCCAAAAGACAACACTGGTGGCACCCTTCACGCCGAAGCCGGAACAG